TAATAACAAAGCTAAGGAGCGCAACTTTTTGAAAAAAGAGCTTAGCTCGGTTTGGTAGGGGCATTTGCGTTCGCTACATCCCATCGAGCCATCAGGTGAAACCTGTTATATCTTGTGAAGCTATGAAGTAATACCAGCCAAGGTTTATAGAGACTACCTGCCAACTGTTGTAAAGAATACCTGTTATCTCTTGGTAAAGCAAGTGAACACTTCGTTCGGGAATTAAGAAAGTGCAAAAGGCCCCCCCCTACCCCAAGCCGCACGGTGCCTCGATCTTTTTTGTGCGCACCAGTATTCTCGGCCACCATACAAGTGGAGTTGAGATCATCTGGGAGATGTGCAGAGAGAATGTGCTGAAAAATTGCGGTGCGTAGTTCTCTAACTCCAGGAACGAGGATTAAGTCTGTTATTGGAAGTTTTTTATAGGACTAGGTGGTGTGATGTAATGTCCTTATAACGAGGAAGTGATTGCCCCAGTGCTATAAGGGGCAAGAGCGAAATAGGGAATCACAAGGGGCGATGATCCTTCTACATATACCAGGATTAAATCTCGTGGGAAATGAAATAGCAACGCAATCCTCTGTTATTTTCTGAGTGGTTTAGGTGGACAAGAACGCCGTTTTGAGCCTCTGGTGGCATCGCAGATCACTAATCTGCCCACAAGTCAAACTGTTTGCAGATTGCACATGACGTGGTGTGATTATTCCGAGAAGTGTTTGTGTGCTCACAGGCTATAATTTGACGAGCCGGCGATGCTGGAATCAAAATAGGCCATGACGTCTGGAAAATCCTTTCCTTTCTCAAATTCGACCCATCGGGACGAATGAGATATGCTCCCTTCTCCCGTAGAGGGATCTTAAACCTCCCTGGTTGCAGTGTTCAGATATTTACCCAGTGACTCTGCAGGTGTTGGAAACAGAACTCGCATTTTGTGTTGTTTTCGTTGCGGTGGGTAAAAACTAACCGTATTACAAAATCTGGAACCCTGGACAATGTTAAATAGGTACCAGGCGTTGCGGTTGCGCTTTGTACTTTTTCATTCTAGTACGCCATTGCCAATTATGGCCCTAATAGGCACCCCCCCCCCCGCTCTCATTCTTGGTGCCCTTTCTGGTACAAGTTACAAGTAGTCGGGTCCGCTGGTTGTCATCGGGGTTCCAGACTTGGTAATACTGCTAACGTACCGACGTACTAATGAATACAGTGCGATTCTCACAATACGGAGGCTGGCAGTTTTGACGCCTCCGTATTGTGAGAATCGTAGTTGTCCCGCCCACCGAAACTCGAGGGCTATTTTCTGTCACGAATCTTTACACTGTGCTTCTCATTTTTTCACTGTTAGATTGTATTAGCAATGTATGACGCGAAAAAACGAGTAATGAACCAGATGCGGCACGATAACCCTTTGCTGGCATTTAAAGGCAGTTGGCACGATAAATCGCTGTACAGATGTAGGATTTATACGACTGGCTTAACAGAATTCCTGACAGGCGCTCCGTGGCGCCTTTTCCAAGGAGGGTACCCCTATAACGCCCTATCGAGCAACAACATTCCGT